GATGTCCAAAGGAGAGCACGGCCAGGATAATCGCCAACTATCCAACGCCTGAGACGACGAAGGCACTGAGAAGTTTCCTCGGTTTAGCCAACTTTTTTCGGGACCTGATCCCCGACTTTGCTTCGTTGGCACAGCCATTGTTTGAGGCGTGCAACAAGAAAAAGTTGGTGTGGACNCTGATCCCCGACTTTGCTTCGTTGGCACAGCCATTGTTTGAGGCGTGCAACAAGAAAAAGTTGGTGTGGACTGAGGAGTGCGGGAAGCATTTTGAGGAGCTGAAGAAGAAGCTGGCAGCAGAGCCGACAACGTGCTTACCCAACTTGAACTACCCTTTCATCGTCGCTTCAGATGCATCAAACATCGCGACAGGAGCAGTGCTGCTGCAGGAGATTGAAGGCCAGAGGAGAATCGTCGACTTTATGTCTCGAACCTTCAATGAGACCGAGAAGCGGTATTCTACCATCGAACGGGAAGCGACGGCCATTCTGTGGGCTCTGGAGAAATGGGAGCATCTGCTCATGGGCCGACGCTTTAAGATTGAGACAGATCACAGACCCCTGCAATGGCTGAAAACTAAGATTGACTTGCCCTCGAAACTAGGGCGGATGGCTCTCAGGCTAATGGAGTTTGACATTGAAGGCATCGAATATGTCAAAGGCGAAGACAACATCATCGCGGACGCCCTGAGCCGAATAGTAGTCGGGCTTATCAGAGTGAAGCCTTCAGACACTCTGGCGACACTGATGCAACGGGACCCAAAGAGGTTCATCAGGAGAGACGGCAAAGTCTTCCTGACCGAGGGCGCAGTGGAGAGATTGTGCATCGACGACGCTGAGGAGAAGACGAAGATCCTGAAAACAGTGCATGAGGAGGAAGGTCATCTCGGATTCTTCAAGTCGGCCGAGGTAATCCGAGAACGGTTTTTCTGGCCGCATTGGAAGCAGCAGCTGAAACAGCACATCAGACAATGCGACAACTGCCAAATGCGCAAGGACGATGATGAGCCGTTCAGAGAAGAAATGATTGCGCTGGAAAGCGAGGAGGTCTTTGAGAGGCTACACCTCGACCTCTGCGGGCCGCTGACGGAATCCTACGGACAAACGCACATGGCTGTCCTTCAGGACTCGTACAGCAAATGGCTGGAGGCGAGCGCTTTACCGGACACAAGAGCATCGACAATCATCAAATGGCTGAATGAGCTCTTTTTCAGATTTGGAACGCCTAAGTCAATCACCACCGACGGAGGCACACAGTTTGACTGCCGGGAATTCAAGGAATTCTGCCGACAACAGGCAGTCGAGCACCACATTGCTTCTGCCTATCACCACCAGGGCAACGGTCTTGCAGAACGAGCCATACGCTCAGTTGAGACGATGCTGAGGACGACGTGCGCGGATCAAAAAGAGTGGAGTCGACAGCTGTTGCCGTGCGTGATGGCTTACAACAAAAGNGGAACACGGGCTGAGCAGAAGGCCGTTCGACGCAGTGACCAACAGAATCACGGCGAGCAGAAACACGAGGACGGAACAGCGGAGGATGAAAAGGAACTACGAGGCTCGAGGAAGAAGAAGAGCTGAGGTAAAAAGAGGCGACCTCGTAGCTTGGCACGTCCAGGAGCAGGGACTTGGGAAGTCCAAGAAGCTGAATGCTAAGTGGAAAGGGCCATACCGAGTAGTCCAGGTGAAGTGGCCAAAAGCAGAGTTGGAGGACCGGAACGGGAAGAAGAAGGAGGTCCACCTAAATC